TTTCGTCATAAATTTCAGCCAAAATGTATTCTGCTCCAAGTCTTTGCTAAAAAAAACCCAATATGTGTAAATTAGTTGGTTTACGTGAAAGTTATAGCGTTTACAAATGGCGGTATAGATACTGGGATTTTTATTTATTTTTTTATACTAGTAATGGTGGCCACCAGCGACCTATCGTGGGACTGCGGCGGGCATTCTGATACCCGGGGGGGATTGACTAACTGTCATTGACAACCCCAGTGACACTGATACAGTGATCAGTGCTAATGAAAAGCACTGACACTGTACTAATGACACTGGGCAGGAAGGAATTAACATCTGGGGTGATCAAAGGGTTAACTGTGTGCTGTGTGTGTTTTACTGTGTAAGTACTCTGCTTTGTATTGCTCTGCTATGCGGAGCAATACAAAGCAGCATGCTAGTTAGTGAATGAAAAGCACTGACACTGTACTAATGACACTGGGCAGGAAGGAGTTAACATCTGGGGTGATCAAAGGGTTAACTGTGTGCTGTGTGTGTTTTACTGTGTAAGCACTCTGCTTTGTATTGCTCTGCTATGCGGAGCAATACAAAGCAGCATGCTAGTTAGTGAATGAAAAGCACTGACACTGTACTAATGACACTGGGCAGGAAGGAGTTAACATCTGGGGTGATCAATGGGTTAACTGTGTGCTGTGTGTGTTTTACTGTGTAAGCACTCTGCTTTGTATTGCTCTGCTATGCGGAGCAATACAAAGCAGCATGCTAGTTAGTGAATGAAAAGCACTGACACTGTACTAATGACACTGGGCAGGAAGGAGTTAACATCTGGGGTGATCAATGGGTTAACTGTGTGCTGTGTGTGTTTTACTGTGTAAGCACTCAGCTTTGTATTGCTCTGCTATGTGGAGCAATACAAAGCAGCGTGCTGGAGCTGACAGTAGAGAGATCTGTATTGTTTAAATACAGACCTCTCCCCCATCAATGATACTTGGGTGCCGGCGGACCCGGTGATCGACAGCTGTAGCCGCCCTTACCCGGAAATATAAAGTCACGTATATTTACAGTGGGGATCGAAAGTTTGGGCACCCCAGCTAAAAATTTGTATTAATGTGCATAAAGAAGCCAAGGAAAGATGGAAAAATCTCCAAAGGGCATCAAATTACAGATTAGACATTCTTATAATATGTCAACAAAAGTTAGATTTTATTTCCGTCATTTACACTTTCAAAATAACAGAAAACAAAAAAATGGCGTCTGCAAAAGTTTGGGCACCCTGCAGAATTTATAGCATGCACTGCCCCCTTTGCCAAGCTGAGACCTGCCAATGTCATGGATTGTTCTCAATCATCGTCTGGGAAGACCAGGTGATGTCAATCAAAAAAAGGTTTTAAATGCCCCGACTCATCTGACCTTGCCCCAACAATCAGCACCATGGGTTCTTCTAAGCAGTTGTCTAGAAAACTGAAACTGAAAATAGTTGATGCTCACAAAGCTGGAGAAGGCTATAAGAAGATAGCAAAGCGTTTTCACATGTCAATATCCTCTGTTCGGAATGTAATTAAGAAATGGCAGTCATCAGGAACAGTGGAAGTTAAAGCAAGATCTGGAAGACCAAGAAAAATATCAGACAGAACAGCTCGCAGGATTGTGAGAAAAACAATTCAAAACCCACGTTTGACTGCACGATCCCTCCAGAAAGATCTGGCAGACACTGGAGTTGTGGTACACTATTCCACTATAAAGAGATACTTGTACAAATATGGTCTCCATGGAAGAGTCATCAGAAGAAAACCTCTTCTACGTCCTCACCACAAAAATCATCGTTTGAACTTTGCAAATGAACATATAGACAAGCCTGATGCATTTTGGAAACAAGTTCTGTGGACCGATGAGGTTAAAATTGAACGTTTTGGCAGGAATGAGCAAAGGTACGTTTGGAGAAGAAGGGGCACAGAATTTAATCAAAAGAACCTCTGTCCAACTGTTAAGCATGGGGTTGGATCAATCATGCTTTGGGGTTGTGTTGCAGCCAGTGGCACAGGGAACATCTCACAAGTAGAAGGAAAAATGGATTCAATACAATTTCAGCAAATTTTGGATGGTAACTTGATGCCATCTGTCAAAAAGCTGAAGTTAAAGAGAGGATGGCTTCTACAAATGGATATTGATCCTAAACACACCTCGAAATCCCCGGGTATTACATCAAGAAGCGTAAACTGAAGGTTTTGCCATGGCCTTCACAATCTCCTGACCTCAACATAATTGAAAATCTATGGATAGAAGTTAAAATAGCAGTGCGTGACAGACAGCCCAGAAATCTCAAAGAACTGGAAGACTTTTGTAAGGAAGAATGGGCAAAGATACCTCAAACAAGAATTGAAAGACTCTTGGCTGGCTACAAAAAGCATTTACAAGCTGTGATACTTGCCAAAGGGGGCAGTACAAGATATTAACTCTGCAGGGTGCCCAAACTTTTGCAGACGCCATTTTTTTGTTTTCTGTTATTTTGAAAGTGTAAATGATGGAAATAAAATCTAACTTTTGTTGACATATTATAAGAATGTCTAATCTGTAATTTGATGCCTTTTGGAGATTTTTCCATCGTTCCTTGGCTTCTTTATGCACATTAATACAAATTTTTAGCTGGGGTGCCCAAACTTTCGATCCCCACTGTACATGATTTTGCACAGTCCGGCTGCCCTTTAGCAGTAGTTCTGCTATAGGGTGGTCGGGAAGTGGTTAAAAACCTTGAATATATATAGCTTCTGATAATACGTGTACATGGGAGCTGCCAAGTTTTCTCATTACATGCAGGCTCTGCTTCCTGCCTAGCTGTGCTGCACAACGTGATCCCGTTATCTTACGTGTAATAGATAATAATGTCCACCTGGCTGAAAACAGACACTCCAGCTTGCAAATACTGCTTTTTTTTATTCATGTAAAGTGTACATTTTGAATGACAGGTCCACTTTTGTTTGTTCGTTGTTATGCTCTTGTTCTAACAAAAACCTGGAAGCTGATTGATTTCTATGCAGATTTTGAGCTCTCCAGTTTTTGTAAATTAACCCTGGGGTGTCAATTTGAAAGGAAAGTTCTGCGCTAATTAAAAAGTGGTAAAATGGACAAAAAAGCCGGTCATGAAATCAACAATATTTTCAATTCAGATTTTTCCTGCAAAAGTAGAGCAGCTAATATGAAGGTCAACATCGGACAGCCTCTCATACTTTGTTTCTTCATCATACTGGCTGAGAGAACAAACAAAATTGGTCCCATCCCTCAGATGATAGTTGGATGACCGATGGTAGAGCACATGCACAATCCACAATGTCTGGAGAGACCTTTTTTGTGAAGCTTTGTACAGAAACATGAACGTTCTGCTCACCGTGTTTATTCTTTGGAGCAGGGAAAAGGAAGCAGGAGGCAACTCCAGCACTGACTTATCTTTGGGGAATCAATAACAATCGGACAATTTTTTTTAGACCTGTCCGATCGATGTTTCCTCAGAGATCGGTTGGTGAGGAGCATCAGCTGGTACAACAGAGATGAAATCTTTGCCAGATCCAAATACTTGTTCTGATCATATTGTAATGTTTCTATCAGATGATCAACAATGGAGGATATGTTTTTTGAAGACAGATTTTGTCCTTACGGAGGAGTTTAGTCTCCAAAACTTGAGGATCCAAGACTGTTTTGACCCCCACATACCTTCAACTCAATTAATGTTGGTTGGAGTTTTGGGCCTCCACTTAAATGTTAAACATAAAGTTTGCAGGAATGCCTAAATGAGAGGTAATACAAAGGATGAAATACTTATCTTTGCTGGAAAAATGCTCCCTCTGGCATTAAGGCCTAGACACTTGGTCATGCGATCTCTGCAGAACGAGAACAGAATTCAGATGTCCGCTGAAGGTACGAATCAGCCAATCTGAATTCTGTTCTCGTTCTGCAGAGATCGCATGACCAAGTGTCTAGGCCTTAATGCCAGAGGGAAAATTTTACCAGCAAAGGGCTGATTCGTACCTGCAGCGGACATCACATAACCAGGGGCAGACTAACAACTCATGGGGCCCCCGGCCAATAGGGAATCATGGGGCTCCTGTGTCCTTGCCCAAACTCAAAAAAGCCTATGAAAAAGGTACCAGGGGCAGCTCATGGGGCCCCTACTGACCCTGGGCCCTCGGGCAGTGCCCGAGTTTCCAAATGGTCAGTCCGCCCCTGCACATAACCAAGAGTTCAAACTTTAACTCGTGGTCTGCAATGAGTGGAGCCTGGGGTAGCATTATTTTCCAGAAAAGGTAGGTAAATTAACTGACATTTATTATCCATCTTTACAAGCAAGCAAGCTTCTTAACAGAACAGGGTTTACTTAAAGTGGTTGTAAACCTCAGACATGATATATAAACAAAGCATATCCCTCTATAGTGTGTACTTGTTTCAGTTAGGAGCACTAACTGTCACGTCTGTCTGCTGCCCCACTCCTCTGTTGAGCATGCAGCATGAGCCAAATCTGGCGAGTTTTCCTGACACCAAGAGAAAAATGGTGACAGGGGAAAGACCTCCAACAGATTGACAGCCTCAGCTCTGTTCCTGTGAGCTGTGTGGACAGGGGTGTCTCTTCCCTCCAATAAGCTCCCAGAGATATCCTCACTAAGCTCTGCAGAGTGAACTTCAGCTCTCTGCCCCCTTTTTGTATGAACTATCAGACCGTAAAAATTCTGAACTTTGAATGGATGTAAAGAAGAGAATACTGCAGATACACAGGTACAACTTATGTAGGAGGATTTGTCTCTGTGTATTACCTGAGGCCAGTCTCTTCACTGGGTATAAGTAACAGTTTACAACCACTTTAAGAGTGACTCCTTTTGAATGTTGTTTTTATAAACTTTTTTGGCTTTATGGTTTACAACCTTGTAGCATGACTTCCTGCAATTGTTTACTTTCTATTTATCTGTATTCTCATTTATACCTTCTTTATAGCGCTAGAGAAATCCTAATAACAAACCATTGTCTCCTCTTAGGTGAGCTACAGGGCTCAGCAAACTAACAGCAGGCATGCAGTGCTGAAGATGTCCATGGTTTGGATACTGGCCTTCCTCCTATATGGACCTGCCATCATAACCTGGGAATACATTGCTGGCAAATCCATTATCCCGGACGGAGAGTGCTTTGCCGAATTCTTTTATAATTGGTACTTCCTGATCACAGCTTCCACCATAGAATTCTTCACTCCTTTCATAAGTGTGACTTTCTTTAATGTGTCTATCTATCTGAACATCCAGAGGAGGACAAAAACCAGACTTGACCTCTTACAAGAGCCGTACAGCCAGACAACCACTGATAATATAAAGTCGGAACCAGATCCGACTAGGTCTAGATCTCTGAAATGTTGGAAAGTGACCCACAAAGCATTTAAAAAGGGGCGTTCTGATGCTGAGGCCTACAAATCAGCGGAGGCTGAAATACTGGAACGGGTTAAGGGAGTTAAAAGGTCTTCTTTAAACGGGAATACGCCATCTGTTTTAGGTAAAGCAAGAAGTACTAGAAGAAGCTTTGCAGAGTCAGGATCCACTCCGTCATTGGAGAAGCGTATGAGGATGGTCTCCCAAGGAATCGCCCAGCGTTTCAGATTGTCAAGAGACAAAAAAGTAGCCAAGTCTTTAGCCGTCATTGTCTGTGCATTTGGAATATGTTGGGCACCCTACACCTTGCTGATGATCATTCGGGCAGCTTGCAGAGGTCACTGCGTGCCAGAGTACTGGTATGAGGCCTCCTTTTGGCTCTTGTGGGTTAATTCAGCCGTCAACCCTATTTTGTATCCTCTCTGCCATTACAGCTTTAGGAGGGCATTTAAGAAGATTTTGTGCCCACAAAAGCTTAAAATCAAACCACATAGTAAATTTAATTTCTGTTGGAAATGAGTTACCACCCCAAAAAAGCAGAACAGCGTTGCTTAAAGCAATAGTGAAGAAATGAGAGGTAGAACAAAAAAAAAAAGATGAAATGGATCCAGACGAAAAAGTTAGATTGCAGGTTATTTGAAATTTTAGAAGACCCTGTTTAGACAAAATGGTCGGAATCATTGGTTCTGAGGAAATCAAAACATTTAAAGAGGAGCTCTCTTACAACTTTGTGGATCCTGGGTCCCTCTCCTAGTATTGTCTTGTTTTATGGTTACTCCTAGTGGTGTCACCATACTCTAGCTACTGGAATTATTGGTCTCAACCACACCTAGAGACATCATTTATGTTCCATCTATGGATGTAATTCTATATCTTGAATAAAACATGCTTCAAATGTGTGTACTTAGCAATCATCTTCATGGATCAGATCCCTTGACTACGGATTGGTTCCTCCTGTGCCTTCAGCTACAATGCTTACATTTTATTCACTTGACATCCAAAGTTTCCTTTAGTGAAAGTAGATGGCAGTCTTGATGATTCCTGTAAAAGTCAAGTTTACGTCCACACGCCATGCCTCCTGAGCCTCCTTCTTGGTTGTTCATTGGAACAGCTAGCCTCTCCTGAGAAGGAAGGGCCAAGTTTAACCTTTAAAACTGAGTGTAAGGGACCACCCAACAGCACCTCTATCAGTCCCCTGATAGAGCCTGTCCTGAGTGCGGAGTCTAAGTTCCGGAACACTTGTTCACCAGGGCCCCTGATGGTGGGGATGGACTTGGAGCGCTCCAGGACCAGGTCGCAGCTACCGGATATCTCTATCAGTGGTAGAGGAGTCTGCCGGAGGCTCCTGCAGGGTGAGAGTCTGATGTGAGGGGACCCGGGGATCCCTGAGGGATGGATGGATGGAGGAATGAGCAAGGGCAGAGTCAAACAAGCCGTGTCGGTAGCCGGGGGGTCGGTGCGGTACAAAACAGTAGGCAAAGAATGGTCGGGTCACACGCAGGGTCAATAACAGGAGATCAAATCTAAAGGGGAACATCCAGGAGCAGAGTCAGGCAAGCCAAGGGGTCAGGACAGGAGAAGGCAGATAGGTCAGACAATCCGGATCAAAGTACTCACAACACAGGTAACAGGATATGCAGAAAGACCATTCGGCAACAAGTGACAGCACTGGACGCTTTAAATATCGTGCCCCGCGCTGTCATTGGTGCCAATCGCGCATTCACGCCCGCCAGTGCACATGCGTGAACTCCGTCGTCGCGGTGGACTGAGTCCTAGCGCCCAAATCCCCGCATGAGACGGTCTACTGCGCATGCGTCGGGAACAGCGCCGCGGCGATCTCTGACACTGAGATTTACATATAAAATTAGCGGTCTGTGTCTCTAAATATAATGGACACATAGACATGATGGATTTACTGACGGTAACCTCTGCTCAAAGCGGAACTGTGCTCTCCTTGACTCCAACGATGTGGAGTCCCCGCCACATCAGTCAGTTTTTAACAACTAGAAACCTCTACTGGGAGTTTTCATTATGCCTGGCAGACTGCCAAGTGTCTGGTGCAACAGAAAGGAAAAGAGCGAAGATAAGGGCTCTGCACCTTTGAGCTGTGTTGATGTGCAAAGATTAATGCAGGCCTGACACAAAGGCACATAAAAAGCAAAAAAAATTGAAAAGTAGTGCCGCGCCCTTATGTAAACACCGTGAATAAATAAATAAAATCAATTTATAGTAGATAATATTCAATGATCTATAAATCATTTCCCCTTAGTTACTCCAGAAAAAAAAAAAATCTAAAAAATAGTTGATATTAATTAATGAAAATAAATACATTTAGAAAGACTAATTCATAAATATTCAATATAATTGAAAGAATAATTAAATAAATAAATAAATTTAGAAAGAATAATTCATAAATATTCAATAGAATTAAAAGAATAATTAAATAAATAAATACATTTAGAAATAATAATTCATAAATATTCAATAGAATTGAAAGAATAATTAAATAAATAAATAAATTTAGAGTAATTCATAAATGTCCAATAAAAATTGAAAATCCCTTCATATATCAAATCCCATCTAAGTGGGACTATATACTGCAAATGGACTGTTCACATGATTTCCAAAATGACACCTCTCAAGATGAAATGAGTTACTTGGTGTTCTTCTATTATTAGAAGACTGAATGTTTCCCCTCTTTTGCTCCTAATGATCTGCCGTGAATAGATCCTGGACTAGATCTTCCCTCCAAGAGTTGCTGTTTATTTTCTCCCTGTTGCTCAGCGTATTGCCAGAAAAAAACAAGAAAGGAATAGTGCCTTATCCTTGATAAGCATAGAGATTTATTAGTGCCAATTGCGCACTTACTAGATAAAAGCCAACAAAGCGCTTTTGATATAAAAACTGTATCCAGCCTGAGCGGCGTGTGGCCTCACACTGCCTATACTCGCCGTGCATCGGAGTCCGGGTACGTGATGTCGTCAGTGCCCCTCCCCAACGCGTTGCGCCACAGGGTCACGTGGTTTCATCCGGGGGATAAAAAGCAATCGTTTTCTGTATGCCCTGCTTACATTATAAATGTGCGGTGTTTAGCGCTGCTTAGAAATGTAGCATGTTTGCAATTTTTGTTGCACCGCATACACTTGAATACAGTGTCATTTGGTGACACTTCAATAAAGTTAAAAGAAAAAAAGAAAACAGAGTGGTGCATTGTAACAACCTCACGACCTCTACACTCACAATAGCGCACACAGGTTTTAGTGTATGGGTTGGTATAAATGAGCCCTCAAATGTGATCATTGAAAGTTAGGCACCTCTGTCAGTCTCAACAAGTACCAAATCCAGTTACTATGTGACGCACAATCCTCCAAGTGAACACAAAACTTCTTTACCCTTCTTGACTGAGCCAATTCCTACTTAACCACTTGCCCTCCAGAGGATTTACCCCCCTTCCAGGGGTGGACTGGCAACTCATGGGGCCCCACGGGCAATAGGGGATCATGGGGCCCCTGTGTCCTTGCCCACACTCAAAGCACACCCAGAAAAGCCTATAAAAGGTACCATGGGCATCTCATGGGGCCCCCTACTGACCCCGGGCCCTCGGGTAGTGCTCGAATGGTCAGTCCGCCCCTGCCCCCTTCCTGACCTGGCCATTTTTTGCGATACGGCGCTGTGTTAATTTAACTGACAATTGCGCAGTCATGCAACGCTGCACCCAAATGAAATGTATGTCCTTTTTTCCCACAAATGGAGCTTTCTTTCAGTGGTATTTGATCACTTCTGCGTTTTTTATTTTTTACACTATAAACAAAAACATTTTGAAAAAAAAAAACCAATATTTCGGTTTTAAAAAAAAGCCCAAACTTTTGGCTATAAAACATATCAGTAAAAAAAGTTTTAAAATAAACTTTCTGCATAAATTCAGGCCAAAATGCATTCTGCTACGTCTTTGCTAAAGAAAACACCAGTGTGTGTAAATGAATTGGTTTACGTGAAAGTTATAGTGTCTACAAATGGCGGTATATATACTGGAATTTAAATTTTTTTTACTAGTAATGGCAGCAATCAGCGACTTATTACAGGACTGCGGCGGGCATTCTGACACGGGGGGGGGGGGGACTGACATCCCCAGTGACACTAATAAAGTGATCAGCACTGATAAAAAGCACTGACACAGTACTAATTACACTGGGCAGGAAGGGGTTAATATCTGGGGTGATCAAAGGGTTAAGTGTGTGTTGTGTGTGTTTAGTAAGTGTGCTTTGTGTCATTTACTGGGGAAGCGAGCTGCTTTGTATTTCTCTGCTGCGCAGAGCAATACACAGCAGCCTGTCCGTGCTGGCACAGGAGAGATCTGTGTTGTTTACATACAGACCTCTCCCCTGTCGGAGAGAATCGGAGGCTGGAACCCAGTGATTGACATGCCGAGGAGCCAGTAGTGGCGCAGGTAGGGAGTGCACGTGCGCCCCCTACCCGGGAAAACCGAAATCACGTATATATACATGATTTTGCGCATCCCTGCCGCCCTGTAGCAGTACTTCTGCTATAAGGCGGTCAGGAAGCGGTTAATCTGTGTCTCACAGGCTCCCTCACCCAAACACTGCAGATCACAGTGGGGGGGGGGGGGGGGATTCAGCAACAGAGTCAGTGCTGTCAATCCAGAAAGCAGTGGGTAGGATTAGGTGTGGTCAGTTGCTGATTGACAAGCTACAGCCCCGTGAATCAGCAGTGACAATGTTGATAATCATGCTCCCTGCAACATCTCATCCCGCTGCAGCGCAAACAAGTCCAGCCTACATGTGAATGACAACTTCGCTCTGAATTGAGGAGCAGTGCAGCATCATTGCCACACAATCATGGGAAGCTGTTGTAGGTGAAACTCACTGGCAGGATCAACAGATATTTGTGGGATTTTACAGATGGGCTTATAATTATTGGCGCCGAGCATACGCAAATATGCGGCCCCACTTGACTGGGCTTTTTTTCCGTAGGGCCGCATGTTTGCGTATCTGGCTCTGTGCTGGGAGTGCTCCGCAAGGCTTGTCAATGCCGTCTACTCAGCAAAAAGAGAGGGGACTTGCCATGATGCCTGGAAAGATTTTACAGAGAATGCAGTGAAAAATATACCTATGCTTGATCATGCTCACCCTCTCGTCACGGGAATACCATGTATTGTTAACTCTCTCTCTGCCAACTTGTGTAAATACACCTGGAGTCTCGTTTAATTACACCTGATACTGGATTTTGAGGCTTAAAAATTCTTCAAAATTCACAGGATTTTACCCAAAGGTTTTCCAGTAAACTTCTAGAACGTCAAGCACTGATTTGCTGTTCGCATTTTTTTACAAGAACAAATGCATTTTATAATTCATTTCAGTTCAATTTTTTGGTCATATAATTTTACTTCTATGTTGAGTCCCCCCCCCCCCCCCAGGTCTAAATCCAGCACTGCATCTGGGGGTCAGCACTTCACATCTGCTGGCTTTATTTTTTTTAAAGAAACAGGGTCACTTTAAGTA